GTGTTTGCTGTATATAATGTAATAGGGGAAAATACGTACTGGATAGAAATCCAGTGTCTTCCGCTTGGTAGGTACGACCAGATTGATTAAGGTTTTAACAAGAAGCAGGTGGTTCAAATCAGAGAGTCAAGGAAAAGAGTCCTTTGAGAGATACTAAGGATGGCAGTGGCAATGCAGCGCGACACTAGCCACAGTGGAAGGGGCATCAGCCTTAAGACTAAAGAGACCTAGTTGGTGGGGGGAGTGCAACTAGGTTTCAGGGAGAAATGACATCATAGAATGGAACTCACTTGACAAGGGCTGTACTCATGGGGAGGTACTATTACTACCGTACCCAGGACCTGAATCTGGAGCCAGAAGAGAGGAAATCCCCTGATTTCTGGTCTAAACCGTTCAGATGCCAATGTAACAGGGAAAGGGGGCAATAGACACAAAGACCCTGCCTCCCAGGGGAAGCAGGGGTTTGAGGAAAGAGGTCGTGAGTAGAGCTGAGCAGGTAACTTGGTCTCTATGTTCTATTTCTGAGGTGGTTTATTGCTTGTCACATTAATAGCTGACCTTCCCATTCCTACTTCCAATGCTTTATGTTGAAACCAATGTGGTTTCACGAATACATTCACACTTATACATTAGCTTCCTCATAATTCATAAAATTGTCACTATTGCTTTATACTTTTTCATCTTTGATTCTAACACACATAAGCTAACACACACACACCACACACACACACGCACACACACACTTGTGCTCAGCCAACTGTGAGCTACTTGCTGACATTCTCAGAGTTAATAGTAAAGTAGAGCTATTGCCGTGTACAGTTCCTTCCTTTAATGCCCATGATCAAGGCTCACACTTCCAATCCTCAGCACGTTTTCAACTTCCTCTTTAGTCAAATTGTTTTCCAGGGTTTTCTTTTTACCATTGCCCAAGACACTGACTTCTAAGTAAAAGCATGATTTCAAGCCAAGTGTTTTGTGAGGCACAGGTTTGACTGACAGTTTCTTCAGCGTTTACTCAACGCAAACAGCCTGGCAATCTTCGCTGCAGAGATTCGTGCCCTTCTCAGTTCCCTGTATCTGGAGGCATGCGATTTCAGAATGTTCCATCATGAGTGCCTGCACTATCTACTAAACTCAGTTACTTTTTGCCAGTTTACCAGTCCAGTCATCTAGTGAGTGATATATGTGAATATCTTTTCATCAACATTCTTTCACACATGCTGTTTTATAGTCATTGAATTTTCTTGCAGTGACAGAGATAGTTTCACAGAAGCAAAATTAGAAAACCCTGTAAGACATTCTTTGAAATGTCTAATTATTACCTTTATCTTTTCCAGTGTTAAACTGTTTCTATACACTCATCAAACATTTCTGGAGTGTTCATTTCAAGCTTTGACCTGTGGAATTTTCACCAGTGTTTTCACGGTTGTCTAGATGATGTCTTTGGATCATACCTCTTCCCTTGAAAGAGCCTTGATAAGTGGAAGCCTGGGGAATGGTAGGCTCTCAAGGGAACAGTTAGCAAGCCTTCGTGGTAGGATTCAGATTTAGTACTCTGACTTCTTCGTCTCCTTTTATAGGGGATGTGATAAGTCAGCTAACTCTCAAGGCCTTGCTTTATTCCTTTATTAAATGGGGGAAAGCAATGATCCTTATTTTGGATGGTTATTCTGAGACTTGAATGAGATAGAATGAGGAATATTTGATGATCTCTGATCACGGCACTTGTGGTGGTTATTGCTAATTGTTCACTTTATGGGATCTGGAATCACCTAGAAGGCAAACATCCACACACACCTGCGAGAGATGAATTAGTCTCAGGGCATGCCTGTGAGGGATTGTGTTCATTAGATTGTGACCAGCAGCCACTTCAAGGTCCTGCTGCCTTGAATACCCTGCTATAATAAGCTAGGAGCCTTGAATTATGAGCCCTGAACTGTGAGTCCAAATAAACGACTTTCCCCTTAAGTTACTTTTGTAAGAGTATTTTATCACAAAAACTGGAAAAGAAACTTAGGACCATAGTTACTCTCAAGTCATATGCCTTGAGCCCCCTGAAATCTCTGCCTTTATTTAATGACTATAGATTAGTCCCTTAGGAACCTTGTCTCCAAAGCTGTCATTGCCTTTGTTAGAAAAGGGACTAAAAAAAGCTATGGTCCGCAGGCCAAATCCATTCTCCATTATTTGTTTTTATGAATAAAGTTTTACTAGAAAGCAACCACACACATTTGTTTAAGTGTTCCCACCCTAAACTTGAAGAACCAAGTAGTGGCAATGGACCACATGGTCTGCAAATCAGAATAGATTTACTACATGTTCTTTACATGAAAACTTTGAGAATTCTTATTGCTTGGGGATATTGCAGTAGACTCCTGTCTAATTATATCTCACCCCTTTTTGAAACCCATCCTCCCTTTCTTTCTGGGCCAGAAGAAAGTTTTAATGAAGTTTTATCTCAGTTGTGTTGATGGCCTTTTGTGTGTCACTGGCTCTTGCAGAAGTATCACTCCTACCCAGTCCTCTGAAAATATCGTTCTTTTTGTCTGAACACACCCACCCCTTAATTTTTGTCCTCAGTAATGAGTGCAGGGTTTTCACCCTCCAAGAAGGCTTTTCTGGTATCCACAGCTGAACCAATGACTTCTGCTGCTCTATGTCTTGTGTAACACTTCAACTAAATCATCTATCACTGTCATGATTATGATGAGCTATCTGTCATTGCTACTTTTGTGAGTTCACCTACAGGACAGAAACATGTCTTCTTTTTTCATTTTTAAAGTATTTAGTGTTTAGTCTGGGACCTGACCCATAATAAGTGCAATTAGGTTGTCATGGATTCTTGGCATATGAATTAGGGCCTGGGGGCTCCTCTGAAGTGTTGGGGGAATATAGAAGAGACACATCATAGGAGGCTTCTCAGGGTGTTGATGATTTAGCTAAATACTGGAGGGTGCGGAAAGGAGAAAATGAAATAATAGGAGAAAATAAGGCGTAGGAAGCTTGTGTAAATGTGGCAAGACCTGAAGGAAGCATGCTGGAAATGACATGCAGAAAGAAAGGTCTGTGCGAGAGAATGCTAGCAGAAAGGCTGTAAAGGAAGCACACAGTCTCTACAGAGCCTCTTCCGATGGTACGCAGAGATGGCAGGAAACCACAGAAACACTGGAGCACATACCTGCCTCTGCCTTCCAAGGTCTGGGGTTAAAGGCACGCTCTGCCATGGCAGGCAGTCAACTATGTTTTTATCTTGTCATCATCCAGTCCAAAGTGTACACATCTTTTAGCATGTTATAGATTCTCAATAAACATCCCTTTCATCCTTGAACTATATGAAAACTACCCAGATTTAAGGAGAGTCTCCAAAGTTTTGTATTCTAAAGAGTGTATTATAAATGTGCGCTAAGTATTCTAAATATTTAAAATATGCACTAATATATAATACTTGAATATTCTAAGTACTAAAAATTATAAATAATTTAATATTATAAAAAATATCATAGTATTTACGGGTGAACATTTGTCCTTTCTGCAGCTTTCATGAACTTAGAATTTTGGTCATATTTATCCTTAGTTTTGAATTTTTTTGTGGTGGTAAGAAATAAAACTAAGGCTGTATCTCTATCACTGAATCTAAACTATATCTATATAAACTAAACTATATCACTTAACCTAAACTATATCACTGAGTGTATCTCTATAACTGAACTGTGTCTCAATCACTGAACTGTGTCTCAGTCATTGAACTATATATCCATCACTGAGCTGTGTCTCCATAACTAACCTATATCTCCACCGCTAAACTGTATCTCCATCACTGTGGCTGTATCTCCATCACTGAGCTGTACCTCTGTTACTGGGTTGTATCTTTATCACTGGGCTGTATCTCCATCACTTAGCTGTATCTCCATCACTGGGCTGTGTCTCATCACTGAGCTGTGTCTGATCACTGAGCTGTATCTCCATCACTGAGCTGTATCTCCATCACTGAGCTGTATCTCTATCACTGGGCTGTGTCTCATCACTGGGCTGTATCTCTATCACTGAACTGCATCTCTATCACTGGGTTGTATCTCTATCATTGAACTGTGTCTCCATCCTAGTTTTGAGTTTTTACCCTTCAAAAATACAAGGTTACACATAGAAACCCTGTCTCAAACAAACAAACACAACAACAACAGCAAAAACAAAAAAGAGAAGTCTTACTATTAAAAAATGGTGTCCTCCTATGGAAATTTCAAATGTCTTTTTATCTAGCTTTACTTTTCCTGGGGCATCTATAACTTTATTTTGTCTTTGTGAAGGCTTTAAGAACATCTAAATTCTTTCCCAGTTGGCAAAACCAGAGGTGGTTTTCACTGCTTCCTATGTAAGTTGTTGTTCATTTCTCTGGCTTTGGCATTTTCTCTCAATAAAAGTGAAGTTAGGGAAAATACACTTTTGCATACTGAGGGGCTCATAGAAGAACTGAACACAGCTAGAACCTAACAGCTAGAACACCTTTTTAATTAATGCCTTCCACAGATAAATTCTGACATTAGCCCTACGACTAAGGGCTGACCATGAGGATGTCAAGGAACAGAACTGGGTGGTTAAGGATAGCCAGACAGCTGCATAAAATTGGGATTGGGGTTTTGAGGTACCTTGTGCCACAGGAAATTCTATTCTCCAAGGCTCTGCTTATCCAGATCCCCAGTTGACTTGAAGCTTCAGTTTCGAGTTGACTACATTTTCCATCCATGGATTTGCTTGTTTTGTTCAATTTTACCTTGAGTAGTTGAGGTTGTCTTTACGACGACGTAACAGCTAAACCCACGGCTTCCTTTCTCGTAAAACCAAAACAAAAAGGCTGTCTCTTCAGGTGCCATGTGTTTGTGGTACACATATGTAGCGCGCCCCTGGGATCAAAGCCGTCTATATATAAAGTGCTCGAATCTGTGTGGGTTCAAACACATTTCAAAGCTTCGGGATCCTGAAAGCTTTCACTCTGCTTCCTGAAGACCCGAGCACGGTTCCTATAAAACCATGGCTCGTCTTGGAGTCCAGAGGTGCAAGGCTCAACTGCAGCTAGCTTCTAGAACTTGGCCCATTGAAGCCTTGCTTGCTTTTCTTTTCGTCCCGACCTTCTCCAAAGGTGAGTGATGACTTCTGGAGCATGGAGGTGGAGGGGGTGTTTTTCCTACACGGGTTTCATTTCTTTCAGCAGCCAAGGACAGTGATTTGTAGAAGAGCCAGAAGTGAAAGGCAAACCTCTACCTTTGGGCTTACAAGCTCTGTGTTCCAAGAAAGGTGGAGGGGAGCTTGCAGCAGCCCAGGAACAGAGACTACTCACAGCAGATGGCTGGCATTCTGGACAGCTGGGGCTTAAAGAATCCATAAGATGCTTGTTTAGGGAGAACAAGTTCAGATATTTCTATAACTCTGGAAGGAAATACTGTAAAATTGAGAGATTTAAGTGGTAAAAGGCTTCTGAAATCCGAGTATATTTGATCTTGATATCAGAGGGACCTTGTGATTTTCCTCCTTAAGAAAACGAAAACAACAACAACAAAAAAACCCACCTAGACTAAAATAAGTAAGAATTTTTTCCCCATTCACTTTACTTTTTGAGACTCTCTTAGTTCTTAAGTTACTACACCTAAGGCTCTGGGGACATTGCGGGCGTGGGAGGCAGAAAGACTGTGAGAGCCAGAGGTGCACGGAATTTACTGTGAGATTGTGTCTCCTAGGAATGTCAGACACTACACCCATAAAATAGTCTTACCAGCATGACTGCTGAGCATGAATGAACAAGGACGTAAACAATAGACATGCCCAATATATGGGGAAAGACCAAGAATCTTCAACCCTACACCAATAACTAAGGGCAACTAAGGAATATGGAGGGCAGGAGACTTCCTCAGGGAAAAGCACACCAACTAGCTATCCAATAACAATGGTCAGACCTGAACACACAATGCAAATAACATATACAGACTCAATAGGCTGTATCTAAGAATGCATAACTATACGTATATGCATGTTACAACAAATAATGGAAAAAAAGTGGCCGTGACTTTGAAAGAGAAGAAGGAGGGGTACATGGAAGGGTTTGGAATGAAGAAAAGAGAAATGATGTAATTACATTACAAACTCAAAAAATAAAAGAAGTAACAAAAATAATGGAAAAATAAATTGGCTAATTATTTTAAAGATGAGATAGTTTGAAATTGAAAGAAGAAAGAAAGGGAGCATGGTAGAAAAGGAAGAAGGAGGGGAGGAAGGAAGAATGGGAATGTGGAACCAAGGGAGGAAGGGAGAGGGAACAAGGGAGAAAACAAATAGTCTGTTTGGCCTAAGAGTCTTTTTATGTTTTTCTTCATAAAATTCCTAATTGTTGCATTACCTACATATGGATTTTAGGTGCAAATTCCTAATTTTTGGATGCAATAAGAACTCTTGAGAGGCCAGTGTACCTTGAGATGCATGTATCTATTGGGCCCTCACCTTTTCTCTCTGTAGATCTTTTAAATGAAGAAATTATGTAGTTTGTGTGAAACCAATGCATAAGTGATATTAGATGATTTAATTTTACCAAAGAAGCAATAGTTGTGTACAGTTTCTTGTCTGAATAGGTCACAAAATCTTCAGTGTGGGAGAGAGCTTCCTTAAACACTCTAGTGGGGTTTCCATGGGGGCAAAGGTTGCTGAGAGAGTGTCTTTGATAGCAGAGATGGGAGCCAGGCAGACACCTGCTGTCTCACAGACTGTTGGAATCACCACGGCAACGACTGCTGCCATATTGTTCTCTTTTCTGAGGACAAATGTTGCTCAGTACAGGAGCTATCTACCATAGACTGATTTATGTGTAGGAGAGGTGGTCTTGGAAACTAAGTTTGGAGTAGCATTCAAGATTGCAAAATGGAGGACACTGAATGCTAAATATTGTCTTGTTTTTGCAACTGATGTTGGTAAACTGCCAATGACACTGTTCAGTGTAAGTTTTGGGTTTACTTTGCATTTGACCAGATAACAGCCAGGTTAGTTATGAAAAGATAGTATGACACAAAGCCACTTTTAGGTTGAGGGCTGAGGGTAGAGCCCAAGGCCTTGTATACTCCGGGAGAGCACTCTGCTACTGAACTCTATACCCCAGCCCTTCTGCTCGCTTGGAATTTGGTTTTTAAAACAATGTCTTGTCATTTAGCTGAGGTTGCCCTTCATCTCCTGTGTGCTGGGATTGCAGATCTGAACTGTCAATAGCAGGCTGCAAGCCCACTCATTTCAAATGATGAAAGCATGTTTGTATAGAAAGATGGGCTCTCTTCTCTTGTAGTATACAGACAGGAAAGAGAAAAAACCCCAAAGGACCAGGAAAATGTTAAGTGAAGGAGAGAAGGAAGGCAGAAGAGGTGGTGGGGAGGCAGGGGAAGCCCACAGAAGTTAACAGCAGGGTTGCCCCAACCCTGGGAGGAAATGACCTGGTGCTCTAGGCTCTGTGGCTTTTTTGTCTAACTTTATAGGCTACTCTACCATGGTGAGGCCAGGGAAAGTAACCAGTGCACTGGGCTGAGGTTTAACTGCTCCCGGTTGACATAGGGACACTTATATAAGTAGGCAGGATATTTTGAGGTTTACATTGAGGGATGAGGCAAGGTTCTGCACCCCAAACTCCAGAACTTCCTCTATCCATTATCCTCCCTCCATGACATAGTCCTATTATCAACACAGAATGCTAGGACTTGAAGACACTGCACTGTCATGTAGTCTACCCCTCTTCCTAGCTGTATGAGACAGAAAATGAAAGGAAGAACGATTTGTCAAAATGACACATTTCATGAGAGCCAGGTCTTGTATTTGCCATAGCCAACCATCTTTGAGAAACTTTATCAGTAAGGAAATCTTGGAAAATGACTGAAGGCAGCTGAAAGATGGGAAGTGGTAGGGTAGATGGATGGAGAGGCAAAGGGTAAGAGGGGTGATGAGTTCCAGTCATAGATGACCATGAATCCACTGAGTTACCTTTGGCCTTTCCTTGCCAGCCATACATGTGACACAACCTTCGGTGGTATTGGCCAACAGCCACGGTGTTGCCAGCTTTCTATGTGAATATACATCTTCACACAACACTGATGAGGTCCGAGTGACAGTGCTGCGGCAGGCAAGCAGTCAGATGACGGAGGTCTGTGCCACGACATTCACAGTGAAGAATAATTTGGGCTTCCTAGATGATCCCTTCTGTAGTGGTACCTTCAATGAAAGCAAAGTGAACCTCACCATCCAAGGACTGAGAGCTGCTGACACCGGACTGTACTTCTGCAAGGTGGAACTCATGTATCCACCACCATACTTTGTGGGCATGGGCAACGGGACCCAGATTTATGTTATTGGTGAGCAAAGCCATTTCGCTAAGAACATGTCTATTGCATTGCTCTTATCTTTACAACAGAATAGTTTAGTTCCTTGGTTTGAGGTTCTACATAGTTAAGACTATGATTTATAGATAGGAATTCTCTAGTAGAGGAAAGTCTTGATTATGATAGGCAGTCACACAACCATCATTCTGACTGCAATCAAATGTGTTTGGGGATGTATTTAACACTGCTGATAGGCTGGGGTACTTGTTCTTTTATAACCATCATGAAGTGCCTTTGTACTTGTGTTGGCAATTTGGGGAAGTCACACATCAAATAGGCAGACTTCTCTGTGGATTAACAATACCAGTTAAGGTTGGCTAGCAAAGCCTGGAATCTCTAAAACTTCTCCTCCTCCTCCTCTTCTTTTTTTTTCACCCATGAGGAAGTAGGGTCCCAGATTGAAAACTTGTCTCAGGTTTGTGCTGTTTCTGTTTCAGAACCAGAACCATGCCCAGATTCTGACATCCTCCTTTGGATCCTTGCTGCGGTTAGTTCAGGGCTGTTTTTTTACAGTTTCCTGATCACTGCTGTTTCTTTGAGCAAAATGGTGAGTGTTGTCCTGATGTTGCTTCACAGTTAATGAGGATATCTTTAGTTGTACCCTACTGACCAAGTGATGGTGTAAAGTTGAAGCAATAAACAAAGAGCAGGAAGGATAGGGCAAAGAACACACTAGAACCCCATGAAATGGCCTTTGGGGTTTCAGGATGACTAATACTGTACGTGAGCATGTTTGACAGTGAATGTTTGTGTGCTTCTGAGCAGGGTTTCAGTTTGAGTAACTGTTTGAACAACATGGGGCAGCTGTTTTGGTCTTTACCATCTTGGCTATGGACCTGATGTTAGTTAACAGTAGAACACAGGGTTATGTTTGGCAACTGAGGCTAGTTAGAACCACCTGGATGGATTTTTATCATTTTCCTGGATATTTCTTCACTGAAAACCATCTCTTGGTGTCATCTCTGTGCTTTATTTGCTCAAATCATAGCTACTTGTAGAATACCTGTCCCCATTATATTATCTACTTACTAAAGGGCCTTAACCTCCTCCCTAGATCAGTGAATGAATTACCTGGTTTTTATTTACTATATGGTAGAGAAAAGAGAGAAGCATGGAATCAAGTCTCCAGTCAGGATTTCTAACCGTCCTCAGCCACTGCTGTGTAAGGCTGGCTTTCCTTATCACATACAACATCCTTTGTCTTCCCCTTCCCCCCTTCTCTTTCTCTTCCTCTTCCTCCTACTTCTCCATTTTTTTCTTATTTCTCTACCTTTGTCACTTTGTCACTTTCTTTCTTTCCTTCTGTGTCTCTGTTTTTCACACATACACACACTCACGCATACACTCACACAATTTTCATTGAGCCTCTGTTCTGTTGTCTTCATTTTTATTTGTTGAAGTTGGGGTGATAGAAACTGATAACTAATACAGACAAGGAAAAAAGCAATAAAAAGCATAAAAGGCGTGGAGCTGAGAAATATAGTTGGAAAACAGGATATCACAGCCACCTTTAAATGTTTGCAATACACTGATTACCACAGACAGGATCTAGTCAATTATCGTGGGTATTTTGGGTGTGCTTGGTGAAGTTGTCTTAAAGTATTTTCTTCCTCCTTTCTGTTCTGTGAAAATGGTTGCTATTTTGCATTTGAATTGCAGAATTGTTTATCGAAGATGAATTTCAATAACTGAATCAAGAAAATCTCCCAGTTTTATAATTCTGAATGTTGTTGTGGATGTTTATTTTTGCTGGGGAGGGACCCAATATTTACTGAGCCCTATTATGGTAGAAAATGGCTTCTTTATTCGTTGATAATAATTACTCTTTCTTTTTTTGTCTTGGCAGCTAAAGAAAAGAAGTCCCCTTACAACAGGGGTCTATGTGAAAATGCCCCCGACAGAGCCAGAATGTGAAAAGCAATTTCAGCCATATTTTATTCCCATTAACTAAAAGACCATTGCCAAAGCTGAGGCAATTTCGACTTTCTTTTGCTCTCCAGCTATTTTTACTCATTTGTTTATTTTAAGGAGAGTGTGCATCTCCTTAATAGGAAGCTGGATGCAAAATATTCAAATTAAGTATACTACAATTGAAAGAGAAGGACCAAGAGCAGAGAACTGGAATACTTCTGTTATGTCAGAACAATGTTAGTGAAAGCAATCACTTGGAAGCAGCATAAGGATGTAGCATTATGATGTGGGGTCAGGGAAACATTAGGGAATGCAACAGTCCAAAGAAAGGAAGGGGATGAAGGAGGGGGTTATATTGTCCACACCTGTATTTACCTGTGAAATGTTTATGACTTAAATAATTTCTAAATTTCCGTGCTTTTATTTCCTTTAACAAATGTTTAGTTACATGAAGATTTAGAAATGTATTCACATAGCTGTGTGATAGCCAGTGATTCCAATCGTTATATTGTTCCAACATGTATTTTCAACTGATATTGTACATGGGTGTTTCATGTGCTGTTATGTATTTGCTGGTGGTTTGGATATAAACACTATATATCAGTGTCTTACTACAGTGGGTTCTGGGGAAGTTTTGTTGGGGAGCTCAGGACACTACTCCATCAGGCAGGACACAAGGTCCTATGTTAACTTGCTTGGAAACTGGATGAGGCTGCAGTTCAGGGCTCAGTTGTGCTAAACTGGGTTTTTACACTCAGGTTTTTTGTTTGTTTTTGTTTGTTTGTTTGTGTTTTCTACCATGATTTTCAAGGAAGCCAAAGCAGGTGGTGTCTGTGTGAACCCAACAGAACACTGTTTTCAAGGAACTGTGTCACTCATGAGCCCTGTAGGTCTGGTCTTCTAGGAAGTTCCACTACTATGGCCCCTACTCCTCACAGACACAAAGTTAATGCCACAGAAAGAAGAAATCAGCAGGAGGTAGAATGGGTGCGTGAAAGTTCCTGAAAACTAACACTGTTGGTGTGTTTTTTTAACTCAATATTTTCCATGAAAATGCAACAACATGTATAATATTTTTAATTAAATAAAACCTTTTGGTGATCGCGTTATGGAGCTGCCTTTATCAGTCTTGTATTTAAGTGTTGTGTTTGAGTTTGGTTTTGAAAAATGTTTTAATTATGTGTGCCTGTGTGTGGGTATGCACATGTGTGTGCAGGGGCTCCTGAAGGCCAGATGTGTGGAATCCCTCCCTCTGGAGCTAGAGTCACCAGTGATTGTCAACTGCCTGATGTGGGTCTAGGAACTGAACTCTGGTCCTCTACAAGAGCAGTATGTGAGCCTCACTGTTGAGTCACCTTTCCGGCCCCAGAGTATGGTTTTGATGGATTCATTCAGCACTTAGGAGAGTCTCTGATGCTGAAAGTGCTTGAAACAAACTAGATAAGTGAAAAAGGGTAAATAATGCTTCACGAGTCAGGCACATATTGGCCCATGACCTGAAACCATTCTTGGAAAGAAATCTACTGTTTCCTTTTGATTTCTCCTATTGGGATATAATATAGGCACAACTGTCTTTTAAACTTTATACGCAGCTCCCTTTACCCAGATTCTCCACTTCCCCTAACTCACTCACCATTTTCTCAGCTGCACTAAGTCTGAATACTGTTGCCATGACAACTTCCAGGGCTGCTAGCCATTTTGATTAGTCTTCATCATGTCTTAGGAATGGATTATTTTGCAAATGTAGAGGAAACACACCTGCTGTTCTGTGTTGCTATTGGCTCTTAAGACTTGGGCCCACTGAAGTCTCTCTAGTTCTTGGTTAACCAAGGTGTATCACCAGCCTGGTTGGTTTCAATTCACGTTTCTCATTCTTGACCTCTACATCCTGTTATTGTCATGTGCGCTGATCTCTGTGTGGTCATGGACCACCTGTAACCGTATCATTGGGTCCCTCACTGAAAACACTGACTCAGACGCTCAGCCTTTGGCAATCTGACTCAGTATCTTTGGATGGCAAGTCTGGAAATTTCCCAGAAGCGCGAGAGGGTTTCCACTTTTCACTTAGCTGGTATTCCTGACCCACCCCTCTCCTCTTTCCTTTGCTCACTGCTGCTTTTTCACCCCCCCCATCCAAGTCCTAAGAAACGAGACAGCCCCGCAGTCAACATTCCAAAAAAGGTTTGCTGAGGTGTTTCAATGTGAGGTTGTGGTTGTTACTTAGAACATGCTAACTCCAACACAGGGTGCTGGGTTCCCTGCTCTCCTGGTCTTCAGTTAGCAACCATGATGAAAAATGCAAAAAAAAAACCACATTTCTCTTTTTCAGTAGTTAAAAATATGTCTAAATGACCAAAGGGCCACAGACAAATAAAAGCTTTTCTAATACCTATTTTATTTATGAGGATTAAACTCTTTGTCTGTAGTAATCAGAGAGGTACATTGTCCTCAAACCAGAGTACCAACCCTGTCATTTGACCAAGTCATTGGGTTCCTAGCCACATAGCTGAGTGAACATGTCCTGATGAAGCCTAAATAGTCCGTGCATCTAAATGAAACTTAGTCTACTGTACACAGAAGCCCAGACACTCAGACATGAATGTGGATGACAGGAGAGCAGGACAGGGCTCCAGAAATGTAGAACCGGCTTCATCTCCTTGCTTCTCCAGCACACACACGGCTCTGTTCTTTTGTTCCCATTACGACAACCTCATTTCTGCTATTTCCAGTTTTCTATTTTCATCTCCAACTATATTTTAAATCTCTCTCACTCTCTCTCTCTGTGTACATGTGCACACATGTGTGAGTCAAGTGCATGTGTAGTGTCTGTGTGGAGGTCAGAGGAACCTCAGGTATTGTCCCTTGCTTTTTGTCTTGTTTGAGACAGGGTTTTTGTTGTTGACACTGTGTGCCAAACTCACTGGACCATGAGACTCCCATCTCATAGGAGCACTGGGAATCCAGAGGTGGGCTACAGCATTTGGCATCACATGGTTTCCAGTGGTCTCACATCAGGCCCCTGCGCTTGCACAGCAAGGTTCTACCCACTGAGCCATCTTCTTAGTGCTCTTAATCCCCCATTCCCCACATCTACTGAGACCAACCTCAGAGTTTGCCTTCATCATCAGGTAACTGACACTTTGGCCCACACAAATTCTCCCCTTTCTGTTTCACAGCTATCTTTGGTTTCATCTCTAATGATTTTAAATTTGCCTGAATTTTATGCCTAGTTTGATTTGGAAGCTTTCTAAGATAGGGATTGTTGTCCAGAGATGCTCAAGCAAGTGGCCTATAACTATAAACTATATGTGTTTTTATAGGTAATCCCAATCTAATCTCCCTTCTGATAAGCAAAGGCCTGTATAGGTGACTCCATCTTCTCTTAAATCTTCAGATTCCAGAGTATGAGTTCCAGCTGGCTACCCTGACCACTATGTTCTATATTTGTGCCACACTCCCAAGCATTTTATGGGGAAAGCACTTTCAGTTTTATCATTTCTTTCTCCAACTGTGGGCTACTGCAAAAGTCAACTAAATTTTCATATTCAGACAGAGCCTTACTCCATATCCATGTTAGATACATACCTAGTTTAAGTTTTACTGGGATTGAATTTGCAAAATGTTGAAATCATTATGCTGTTAACTTACAAATACAAGGAATCATGTTGGGAAGTCATAAGTAAAAGAGAAGATGGCTCTTGGAGTTGTTGCTATGGTCATGCTTCCCTTTTGTACCTAGTGAGGCTCTTGACTCTTTAGAAACCATGTTTAATTGCATATATACTTTTTTTCACAACTCAAATCAACTTTCCTGTATTCAGTCTAGAGGTATGGCCATGCATTGATAAAAGAAAGTTTTATTTTTCTTTTATGTTTACTTGGTTATAGACTATGATAGACATTAGTATGTAGGTTTGCCACATTCTGTCATGAAACTACACACACACACAAATTAAACCATCACTACAATAACAATGCAATACCCCATTAAGCTCCATATTTCATTTTGATGACTGTACCATAAAGACAGTTTATACTTTTAAAGGCAGTAAGAATAAAAGGAATGCTGGAATTCCCTCATTTGGAGTTTTTGGGTAAGCATAAATTGAAATCTGTGGTCACTGCCATAATTCTAACATGCTTCTTGTCTTCATTCCAGGGTGCACACACACACAGAAACTTTGCCACTAGTAGGTAACAGATTATCTTTCAATCATTTTCTTAGAAGTCAACTCATTCTGGTGTACATTGCAGAAAGTCTTACATTAGCCCTTCTTGGAAATCTGTGTTCTTTGGGGGTTCATTCTGTCACAGAAGTTCTTACATTCACTGTGCACCGTTGTCATCTGCAGCACTTGGGGGAAATGCAGGTGGGTCATTTCAGACCCTGATCTTCCCATCTGCCAGGGCATTCAAACACGCTCCTAGGTCTCTGAGTCACACTACCTGAAACCTTCCTACTCAGCATCCTCCCATCACAGACGACTACAACTAGAGATGGCATTGTAAGTCGCCTTCACCCTATAGAGCAAAACAAGAAGCAGAGAAACCGGGAAATTTCTCCAGAGTCACAGTGTGAGGTAGCTTTGAACCAGTCTGGGAATTTGCATCTCTGGGTATTCACATCAAGGATGTGCACTAAATTCTACTCTGGCCTTTCTGCCCAAGAGCTACACTTTTCAGTTGCTTCCAGAGAGCCAGTGATGGTACATAAGCTGCTCTCAGCAATCTGCTTCTCCAATCTCCAACGTGCTAGGAAGAAACCTAGGGAAAGATGAAATGTTGGTCATCACCCACTGTACTGGCTGGTTTTGTGTGTCAACTTGACACAAGCTAGCATCATCAGAGGAAGGATCCTCAGTTGACAAAATGCCTCCATGAGATCCAGGTGTAAGGCATTTTCTCATTTGGTGATCAACGGGAGAGGGTCCAGCCCATGGTGGTCTGAGCAAGTCATGGGCAGCAAGCCAGTAAGCGGCTCTCCTCCATGGCCTCTGCTTCAACTCCTGCCTCCAGGATCCTGCCCTGTTTGAGTTCCTGTTCTGACTTCCATTAGGGGCGAGCAGCAATGCTGAAGTGTAAGCTAAATAAACCCTTTCCTCCCCAACTTGCTTTTTGATTTTAGTATTTCATCACAACAATGAAAACCCAAGTTAAGACACCAACATTGGGTTATTTCCATCTTTCTTTCACCCTCTCTGATGCTAGCAAAAGAGATCAGTCCATCCTTAGCAATTTTATGAAGAACTGCTTCTGGGAAAACATAAAACATACTACTGCAATATACCCTGTCACCAAAGCCTGTGGAAGTTCAAGGGAGCCTCTGCATTCAGCTGGAAGTCACAGAGTGACTTATCACATGCAATCAAATTACCATGGCAACCAACAGTGTTTCAAAAACAATGTGATTCACACAAAGTGAAATCATGTATGTGAACAAAAAAGAGGAGGCTCTCTCTGAGAAGAAATGTATGAGATATGTTTTAAAAGTCAATCTTAAGTTCTAGAGAACCTCATAAATGACTACTCTTTATGGAGTTCATTCTTTTCCTTACTTCTTCTTGGTTCACCTTGAAACTGGCTGAATCCACACCACCCTCATCCCACCATTAGTTTATTTTCTTCAATGTGCCAAAAACGATTCTGGCTGTCCATCTTTGTGGTAAGAATACAACTGAAATGAAGTGCCTATGTCCTGGCAGTATCCTTTTGGTCACTGGCACTTTGAAGTTATTTTAATCACAGGTGGACATTAATGATGGGAAGCATTTGTGACTTAAGACTGGTGGACCAGTAAGACTGCTCACCAGATAAAGGCGCTTGCCATGAAATCGGATGACCTGAGTTCAATCCCTGTGACCTACCATGTGGAAGGAGACAATCAGTTCCCGCAAATCATCCTCTGTCCTAAATATACAGGCAAAGAGTGGCACACACACACACACACACACACACACGCACACGCACACGCACACACGCACGCACGCACACACGCACACACGCACGCACGCACACATACACACACACACGCACGCACGCACACATACACATACACACACACACGCACACACGCACGCACGCACACATACACATACACACACGCACGCAC